GCACCTTCGTCTTTGATGGGGTGCTCCCTTTCACCGTCGTAGGCGCCTCAATCTAGTAAACCCTGGAAGACCAAGCAATTCGCAGGAGATTCCACGCCTTCCCAAACACATGGTGACCTACAACTTTTTCAGCCTTCAATTTTTTTTAGCTTACAATGTGAGACGACCATGTGCCTGGGATGGCGTGGGATCTCCAAGGAGAGTGCTTGGACTTCCGAGGTATACTAGATTGAGGAGGCTACGACAGTGAAAGGGAGCACACCCTCAAAGACAAAAAGAGGATCAGGACCCATCTCTCAATTCTTCAACCTTCGATTTTTCTAACATGTCCGTACAATGAAGAGACTTCATTGACCAGCATGTTTAGGAAAGCAAGAGTTGAAGAATGTTGATAAAATGGTCCTGATCCTAATTCAATTGTCTCATCTCAACTACCTTTTATAGAAAACTCATGAAGATATCCTCCTTGATACGCGTGACGTTATTAATTTGCCAAAGACTGAGAAGACATTTCGGAGCGACTCTTCAAATTCGCAGAACTGCGAATAAAATGCGATGAGTCGAACTTTATTCACATAACTTTATGATAATAAATGATTTCGCATATCTGGTTAAACAAGAAGATATCTATCCTCCTTGATACGCACGCCGTTATTAATTTGCCAAAGACTTGAGGGGACGTTTCGGAGCGACTCTTCAAATTCACAGAACTGCGAACAAAATGCGATGAATCACACTGCATTCGCATAATGTATTGACAATAAATGATTTCGCATATCTGTTTAAAGAAGATATACTCAAGAAGATTTCTATCCTCTTTGATATGTGCGCTGTTATTATGCGCCGAAGACTGAGGGGACGTTTCAGAGAAGAGGCGACTCTTCAAATTTGCAGAACTGCGAACAAATGCGATGAATCGAACTTCATTCGCATAACGTATTGACAATCAATTGCATTTGATTTCGCACATCTGGTTAAAAAAACATACGTAAAATATCATTAATTGTTTTTAATGCGCCGAAGACTGAGGGGACGTCGTTCGGAGAACAGGCGACCTTTTCCGTAAAACAACTGTCATTTTGCGAGACGAAAAGACGCAACCTGCCAACCTTTATTTCGCAGCACGGCGAACAATGTGTGAAAAAATCGCATAACTTTCGCATACCTGAAATTAAGGAGGGAAAAAAGTCCGCCCAATGAATTACTAAAGCAGTGAAATGAAATTACGGTTCAACCTCAATCTTAGATAAAATGTGGATTATGAGTTAAAGTATATAGATAAATATTGTTTAATGTGATTATGTTTGAAAGTGACTGTAACACCCCACCTTACTAGTAAATCAGAGTAGCGCATTTATTCGCAAAGTCTTTGAAAACTAAAACATTTTTACTGCGCGAAACTGATTTGGGGTGCTACCGTGAAAATCTTTACTTATCTTTAGAAAAACCGTTGTTTTAACTTATTAAAAACGTCCGGTTATTTATAACTTTATTTCCTGAAAAGTTTATCAAAGTATGATAAAACGTCCAAATCATCAAACCATCGTCAAAAGATAGTCAAAACGTAAGCGGAAGCGTAAATATTAGT